TTTCTGCATTCAAGAAAAAGAAAAGAAATAGAAACGACAAAAAAGAAAAAGAAAAAAAAGGAAATGGTTTGAAAATTTGAAAAGTTGAATACACTGAAGTAGACTAAAATAAAATGATGGAAGTAAAATAGAATTTGAAAAAACTTACACAAAAGTAGAAAATATAGTAAAAAAATTAAGGAAAAATATTTTTAATAAAAATTGAAAATAAAAATGAATTTTTTCTCTTTCTGTATTCAAGACAAAGAAAAGAAGTGTAAAAGAGAGAAAAAAAAAGAAAGAAAATTGAATAGATGGACCTGCTAATAGATTGAAATAGGACTGAAATTACTTCGTTTTCCCCTAGAAGTCAGACTATGTAGCGCTTTATAGTCCATAAACTAAGTAGGCGGTGAGACTTGTGTTCTTGAGGAATGAGGTTGGCCCACTTGGGCAGGGCTCAGTGTAAAGGCTCCGGTTCTCCACTAGATGACGCTGCTAGCCTACTGGGGTGGAGTGTTGTGGCACTCGTAGGTGCATAGGTGCATGCGCGGGAGCGGTGAAACTGGTGCCACCCAGCTACCCAGTCCCTAGTATTGGAACTCTGTTCTCCTTGATCAGCTGTCGTGCACCCGTCTTCTGTCTTTAGCTTTTGTCCACTCCCCACTTTTTCACTGTCTATGACCAGGCCCCAGGCAGTACCTCTCTCCCGAGTTTTGTCTCAGATGCGGCTGTTTTCCCCGACCCCTTACTTCTGAAGGACTGCATCTTTGACCCATTCCGCCCCTCTATGGGAGGGTCTTACCGAGCAATGGCCGAATGCTGGCTGCAACCAGGAAAACTTGCCGGATCCTGCTGCTGCCAGTGCCCCGAGACTGCGGCCAGGTGCCAGCCCGCCCCAGAAAAAGTTTGCTAGATAGTGTAGCAGCAGCTTTTCAGGGATTATGGAAAATCACAACACACATCTGGCACCAGGCTTCACCCTTAATGACCTTGTTCCAGCACCAGTGAATGTGGCCGTTTTCTGGGGCTGCTGGGGCCAGGTGGTTTCAACAGTCTCTACCAAATGTCCTTCCAGCAGTGGAACCACGTTTCTGCATGTGGCCCAAGAACCTCTCGGACCCCACCCTGTTCCTGGGGATTCACCCTTCCTACCAGAGCACCGCCAGGTATGGAGCTGCGGAGTTGCAGACGTTGTGCTCCCCTTGTTTACAGTCTTAATGGAATTTAAACCCACTCCTTTCTCCTTTCTCCCTTTTTAGTTTAGTCCCTGTGGCTGTTTCCAATTTTCCACTTTCTCTCCAGCTGCTTTTTGGGAGGAGTGCTTTTCCTGTATTCTCTGCCCCCCCCAACCCCCCCCCCCCAGTCTCTGTCCTCTCTCTGCTCGCAAAAGCACCTCCCTTCCCTCGCCTTCTTGCTCCCCAAGTTCACTGATTTCTGTGGTTCAGGTTGTGCAGATTGTTGTGTTAATCCTCCAATCGACCTAAACAACATACTTAAACCACCACTTCTTGACTATATAATGACTATTATAGAAAATGAAGATCTCACTGCTGCATTTTCTTTGTCTATACTCTGAAAATAACCGTGTCACCATTTTTATTTAAATCACTCTCCAGTATTCACATTGCTGTGACTATATAAGTCTTATTCCCAGCTGTGCCCCATAGTGCACTGTATTTCATTTCCTTTCTTTTATAACTTTTTATCATTTTATCAGTTTCTCCTTTGTTCATTTGCTTAGTTTTCTATAAACTCATCAGTCACTGACACCACAGTTTGGTATAGAATGGTTACACTCCTCTCAACTTAGTAAAACCTGTAAGGTAATTGGCAATTCCACTCCCCCAGCCCCTGTGGACACATCCCTCCTGGAGACCTCCTTCTGGGGCTTCTGTCTGGACTGGCTTTCTATGTGTTTCTTCAGTATTGTCTTAGGAATTGCCTTTGAATCTCCTCTGTTTTCCCAGGCTTTCTCTTTCTTAGTTACCCTTTGTGGAGTATGGCCACAAATTCCTTAATGCTACTCCCACTGAGAAGTGTGGTTGTGTCCCCTCCCCTTGAATCTGGGTGGCTTTGTGACTGCTTTGGCCCACAGAATATGGCTGAAGTGACAGCATGCTAGTTGCCAGGCTCAGGTCTGAAGAGACTGACACCTTTCACTTCCTGTCTTTTGAGGTCCTGAGCGTCCATGTAAAAAGGTCTGCTAGCCTGTGGCTGGTCCATGGAGAGAGGCTGCAGGAAGAGAGGTGAAGAGTTGCTAACCATTCCCAACGGCTCCAGCTCTCAGCTGTTGAAGTCATCTGAGCTGGGACTCCAGACACTGTGAAGCAGAGACAAGCCATCCCTACTTGTTCCCGTGTGTCCAAATTCCCGATAGGAAGCAGAGAGATAGAAGAATACTGATGCATTGCTCTTTTAAGCCGCTAAGTTTTGGGGTACATTGTTACACAGCTATGGAGAACCAGAACAGTCTTTCATCTAATAGCTTCCTGAGAAAGAATATAAGAGAAGTCGCTTTTGGAGATTTTTGAGATTTTTATGTCTGAAGATGTTCATCATCCAAGTGACTGAGTGTTCTTCTGGGTATAGAATTCTAGGCTGGAAATAAAATTTCCCCCCGATTTTTAAAGGCTTCATGCCATTCCTTTTGGCTATGTATCCAGCATTGCTATTAACAGATGTTACCTCTTCTGCACCCTGACCTTTTATAAATGGCTTCTTTTTCTTCCTTTTGGAAGCCACAGCATTATGAGCATTCTTCTTTAGCACCGGGTGTTGGATCTTTTACAGAGCGATCTGATGTGGGTGTCTTTTGCTTTCAGTGTGTCGGGCATGTAATGGGCTCTTTAATCTGGAAACTCACGCTCTTCAGTTATTTGCACTATTATCTGGAACTCCTTTTGTTTAGATGTTGAAACCCCTGACCTTGTCCTTTGATTTTCTTATCCTTTCTTCCTTATTTTCCATCTCATTCTTTATTTTTTTGTTCTACTTCCTGGGAGATTTTCTCTACTTATCTTCCAACTCTTCCTGAGTTAAAAATATCTTCTGTCATATATATTTTTTAATGTTTATTTATTTTTGAGAGAGAGAGACAGAGAGAGAGCGAGCGAGCATGGGAGGAACAGAGAGAGAGGGAGACACAGAATCTGAAGCAGGCTTCAGGCTGTCAACCTGTCAGCCTGTCAGCTGTCAGCACAAACGTGGAGCTTGAACTCACGAACCGTGAGATCATGACCTGAGCCAAAGTCGGATGCTTAACTGACTGAGCCTACCAGGCGCCCCTCTTTGTTCCTTTTTGTAATAACACCTGTTCTTGTCTTCTGATTTCAAAATCTCTTACATTTTTAGATGTTCCTTTCTATTCCTCTGCTTTGTCTCTGTTTCCTTTGGTTTTCTTTTTTCCATTTGTACCTTTGACCTCTGACTTTTGTGTTTGAAGCTTTCCTTAAATGTCTAGTCCATCTTGGCTGTTTGCTCACAATAGGAGCAAACTAAAAAACACAAGTAAAATTCTGATTGTAAACAGGCAGGGTTGCTGGCCACAGGCTTTCATCACAGAGTAGCCTCTTTCAGTGACAGATCAGTATTACGTTTTGTTTTGGACAGAGTTCCTTTCTCCAGAAAGGACTCTTTCAGTTTTCTGAGCAATGATGGGTAGAGGATGAAGGACAGACAGGTCATAATCCTGGCTGCTTAAAGTGACCGTGAGCAGGGCTCCTCCTTGCGTGACTTTAGGCTAACTAGAAAATGCTCCTCTCCTAAGACATTTGACTTCTGTTTGCTGGAGAATGCATGTTAACTCTGATTTTGTTAGAACAAGTCACTTTATAGCCATCTGCTGGGAAGTTGTCAAAGCTGCCCATGATGTACAGGCCATTCCTGATGTTGGTAAGTGGGGCCTGTGGCTGAGGGGTCTCCCCCTGGCCCCACTGTTCTCAGTGTGCGTCTTCTCTGTTGCTCTCTCACGTCTCCTTCTCCTGACAGTGAACCTTCAGGCTGTGATCAGCTGGGGGAGGGGACTTGGAGCTGTCAGAGGTGCCTGGAGCCTCCAATCCCCAAGCCTTAGTGGAGTTCAGTTGTACCAGCTGGTTGACTTCCTGGCCCCATAAACTTGGCATTCTCTGTTCTGCGATGTCTGCTCCCTGTTCACCTGCCTGGTCACTTTTTGGCTGCCAATATGTTGTTGCTATCCTTTGTCTGCTGTCAGTTTCTCTTCAGTTCTTGGTTGGCCCATGTGGGTAGTCACTCCTGTTTCGGGTGCAGAGACAGAAACACAGCTCACATTGGCTTCAGGCGCAGAGGCTGGAATTCAAGTGCATGGGTGGTGCTGTCAGGAGCCCAAGCATTGGGCTCTGATTACCTGTCAGTCTCTTCGTAACGATGGCTTTATGGAGCACGTGCAAACCTCTGTTTGTTCTGAAACTGTCTGTGGGCTTACTAAGGGCGCTGCAGACTCCTTGGTCCCTGAGTGCTCTCCTCACCTCCTCCTTGGCTGCCATGGGAGAGTATTGACTCAACCTCTTCTTGACCCTTGAAGGATCTCAGGCCTTGAAGTCTGGGTTGTAATTAGCCCCCAAGGGCATTTCCATGTCCATCTTTCCAGTTCCCATTTACTTGCTTTTTTTAAAAAAAAATTTGTCTGTTTTTATTTTATTTTTGAGAGAGAGAGAGAGAGCACGCACAGAAGGGGGGAGAGGCAGAGAGAGAGGGAGACACAGAATCCAAAGCAGGCTCCAGGCTCTGAGCTGTCAGCACAGAGCCCAACATGGGGCTCGGACTCGTGAACTGCGAGATCATGACCTGAGCCAAAGTCAGATGCTTAACTGGCTGAGCCACCCGGGGGGGGGGGGGGGCCCCGTTTCCCTTTACTTGTAAATGGACAGGTAGGTGGATAGGTGGCTCTCAAGGTTCAGCAGGGGACCCTGGCTCCTGTTCATGTTGCTTAACCCACTGAGGGTGATTCCTACATAGCTGTCGAACGGGTTGTTGTTGAAGACGAGGGGTTTCCACTTTGGCCCCTGCAGACCACGTGTACCATAACGTTCAACCAAAAGCGTCCTTTGTGTGACCAACAGTGTCACCACAGCTGGAAGCACAAAGCCCAACAAGCTAGCAGACTCCACCATTCCATGGGCAGGGCACAGCCCTAGGAGGGCGTCAAGGCCTGCTTATGCCTGTCGACCACAGATCTAGCCATCCTCCAATACACTTAGTAAGTGGTGCTGCCCGCCCATTTCTGTTTTCTCAACCAACCTCTCTTGTGTCACTTCAGCCTCAGCACCTCTTATTCGCACCCCCCAAAATAATCCTCTTTGTTTTAGATTTCAAGTCCCCTTTCTAAGCCAGATGCCGTCCTGGAGGCTGGGATCACAATGATAGCCTGGAGCTATGAGGAGCCACTCCTCGGGCTGAGCTGGTGTGGCACCCTCAGAGTCCTGGTGGGCAAGGTCGAGGCAGCAGCAGTCTCTGGCACGCATACCTTTACCTAGTGAGGGAGCATGTCTGAGTTTGTTGAAAGTTCCTATCTTTTGTCTTGGGTGGTTGTACCTGTTCCTGTCTTCCGCTCATTTGGTCATATATCTCCTTTCACTTCCTTCCTGCTCCCTTCCGACCCTTTCCTCCTTACGTCCCCTTCCTGCTCCCTCCCTCCTGGGGACTTCCTCTCTCAGCCCACACACACCCCACTTCTCAGCGGATCCTGCAGAGAGACCCGGTTGTTGCTCCCCTGCCTTCTCACTGCCCCGGCAGCCCGTCCTGACAGAACCAAGGAAAGGTAAATGCTAAACCGAAAGCTTTCTACCGCAGAAAACAACCCTGCCGTCCCTGGGGAGGCAGGAACGGCTCTCTGGCCACCGGAGGTCTTAATGATAATGTGTGAAAGCTCTCTCAGTGTCACGCTGTTTGGGGACCCTCCTTCTCCTCCGGTGTCTTCCAGTCTAGAGGCTGAGCTCCTTGAGGGTAGGAACAGGCCGGATCCGTTCTGAGTGCCCCGTGTTTGGTGTGGTGCAGACGCTTACCGAAAGCGCGGGAAGGAAGACCGAAGGGAAGGATGGAGAGGGAGCATCTCTTCCCCCTGCAGTCACTGGCCGGCAGGCCAAGGATGCGGGAATGTGGATTGGCAATGCCTCCCGTCTGGGATTCCCGTCACATTTTTGTCTCTGGCCGGGAGGATCTTTTCTCCCCCTTCCCTCCTTTCTCTCTCTCTCCCTGCCTTCTTTCTGCTACTTTCGTGGAGTTTGCCACTGAGCAAGTGTACTTCTCTGTGGTTGAGCGAACCCCACAGCAACAATTAAACCGCAGTGCTTAGAAAACCCTTCCCGTAGCGTTTTCTGTCACCCTTGTTGGTTCAGGGCCTTAGTCTTTGACACTTACCACAGGATGATTTAACGGTTTCTGTTTCCATTCAGGGTCAGGTCATCCAGGCTGTGCGAGGGCTCACGGGGGTGGGTGGAGGCTCTGGAAGGTGGAAGGTCAAGTTGTGAGGCAGCTGTGGCACTTACTGGAAGACTGAGGGTTTCTCTTCTCGCTGCTTCTGGGGGTCTGTTCTTCACTGCTGCCTTTCATTTGTGCGAAGGCCTGGCAGTGGGTCCCGCCTCATTTCTTAAGGGAGACGGAGCGTTTTGATTTTTGCCATTTTCAACGAGAAGAGAGTGACCGAGGGAGTTTAGCCTGAGCCAAGCTGGAGATGTCTCCCGAAGCAAAATGATAAAAGGGACCAGGACAAAAGAACAGGCTAGCGAAGCAGAGGCACCAGAGTTGATTTCCAAGTTCTTGTCAGTATTCACTCCAGAACGTGGGTGCCGCCCAGATAAGGCTCGGCACCAAGGATATTTCTTGTCAGGAGGGCATTCACGCTTGGTATCTGAAAATGTGCTTTCCATTGCCCTAAAACTGATTTTTGATTTAGATTTTGAGAGGAAAAAAATAACACACAACTGCTTTTTTAAAGCGGTTTTCGGTTTGTTGGGTTTTTACAAGGTTTTTCAAAAAATGCACAAAGATCTTTTTTGTTGTTGTTATTGTCGCCTTGTTTCTTGTCTCTTTTCAAAATGGACTTAATTTTGGAATAATTTTCAATTTTTAGAAAAATTGTGAAGAAAATAGACTTCCCGTATACCCCTCAGCAAGTTTCCACTGTTGTCAACATCTGACACAACCACGGTACGTTTGTCAAAACGAAGAAAGCAGCACTGGTTCATTACTATTACCTAAATTCTAGACTGCATTAGAATTTTCTCACTTTTTCCACCAGTGTCTTATTTCCGTTCCAGGCTCCCATCCAAGATGCCACATTATGTTTTGTGGTCATGTCTCTTTAAGGTCCTCTGACCTGTGACAGATCCTCAGTCTTCCTGTGCTTTTCTTGACCTCGACACTTTTGAAAAGCTTTGGTCGTGTATTGTGTTGAATACCCTCAGTTTGGTCTGTCTGATGTTTTTCTCATGTCTAGATGGAGGTTATGGGCTTTTGGGAAGAGTATGAGGGCAAGTACCCTTCTCGTCAGTCATAACAGGGGGTACATACTATCAACATCAGTGGCGACGTTAACCTTGAAACCCCGGGCGGGGTAGTGTTTATCAGATCTTTTCATTGTAAAATGACAGTTCCCCTCTGCAAGCAGGTCGTTAAGCACAGCCGACGCTCATGGGACAGTAGTAGTGGTGTGGAGACAGGTGAAGCCCCACCTGCTAGAGGGGGAGGTAGCTACACAAATTATTTCAGGCTATTCATCTCTTTTCCCTATGTATTTATTTATTTTAACTATTTGTATCAGTATGGATTCCTGCAGATTTATTTTATGACTGTGTCACAGTCCAGTAGGACGTCATTCATTTTGTTGTTCTCATCGTTCCAGCGTTGATCCCAGGGGGCTCTTTCAGTCGTCTCCTGTGTCCCCTTGACACGCCTCCATCCTTGGGGACTTTTTTTTGAAGGACTTCTTTACTTTCTAATACCGCAAGATGTTCCGGGCTCATCTTGTATTTTCTCTGCCCGTTTCTCCAGTGAGCCCGTGTTCCTTTTATTTGAGAATAGTTTTTAGAAACCAAGATCTGTCCTTGAAGGTCTCATTTTTACATAAGGAAATGATGCCCTACCATAATTCCCCTTTCCGGTCATCTACTTTCTTCCAGTTTTATATTTAAAAAATTTAAACATATAACGGAATTGAAAGACTTTAACACTGAGTTCCATATACTCACCACCTAGATCCTACCATGAACATATTATTGTATTTGCTATATTACATGTTTGTTCATTTATACCTCCCTCTATCCACCATAATTCACTCTTGGGATGCATTTCAAAGTCCCCCCTCCCCCCAGATAATTCAGTGTGCATATCATGAACGAGACTTCAAAATGTGTTCAGGTGTTTGTTTTGTCGTGTTTTGCTTAAAATGCAATGCAATGCAAAAATCTTAAATGTCCACTCGCAGAGTTTCGACACCTGCATACGCCTATGTAACTCAAACCTCTATCAAAATATTGAACATTACTATCACCCCAGAAAGTTCCCTCATGCCCTTTCCACTCAATCCTTGCTTTTATCTTCCCAGAGGTAACCACTGTTGTGGATCCCCCCGCCCCTACTATATTTTAATTTTGTCTGTTTTAGAGTTTAATGTAAGTGGAGTCACACGATATGTTCACTCAGCATATTTTTGGTGGTATATTAATTCAACGTAATCCTGTGCAGCAGTGAAAATGAATGAGCCGCAGCTGCGGTAGATACCAAAGATAAATCTCACTAGCCATGTGGAGCAAAAGAAATGAGACACAAAAGAATACATAGAGTCTAATCTCATTTCTGTAATATTCAGAAGCAGTCAAAAATAATTGATGGAGTTACAGGTCAAGAGCGCAGCTAGCAGTGGGCAGGAGAGAGGGAGTAATGACTGAGACGAGATTCTGTGTGCTGGTGACATAGTGTGATTTTCTTTGACGCGGATGAGGATTATATAGGTGCGTTTTCTTTGCGATAATTCATTAGGCTATCATTTTATGACTCATGTCTTATTCTTGGTGTATTACATATTGTTAAAGTGTTTTAAAAATAAGATATTAGTTCCTGCCCATCAGTTGTGTGTGTGTGTGTGTGTGTGTGTGTATGACAATGCCATGTGTATTATTTATCTATTGATATGTCACAAATGACCTCAAAACTTAGCATCATAAAAGGTAATATGTATTATCTCACCTGGTTCCTGTGGGTGGGGATTTCAGAGCGTCTTAGCTGGGTGGCTCTGGGTCTGTCATGAGGTTGCACGTAGGACTTCAGGTCTGAAGTCCTATGAAGGTTTGACTGGGGCTGGAAGATCCACTCTCAAGATGGTCCACCCACATGACTGTTGGCAGGAGGCCTCAATTTCTCCCCGTGTGGGACTCTCCATAAAGCGACTTGAGTGTCCTCACATCATGGCAGCTGGCTTCCTGCAGAACAAGTGATTCGAGAGGGCTCAGCATAATGTTTTCTAGGTTAATACACGTCATGCATGTGTATCAGTAGTATATTTTTATTGCTAAGCAGTATCCCATTCCATGGGATCACAGTTTATATAATAAATTACAGTTTATAATAAATCACAGTTTATTTCTCTGTTCTCTTAGTGATGGATACTTGGGCTGTTTCCAGTTTGGGGCTGTTATGAATAAAGCTGATCTGAACGTTCTTCTACAAGAATTTTGTGAGCATTTTGTTTCTTTTGGGTAAATATCCAGGAGTGTAATTGTTAAGCCATAGGGTAGATACATGTTTAATTTTATGAGAGGTTAACAGGCCTTTTCCCAAAATGATTGTGTCATTATATATCTTCACAACAAAGTATGAGTTCAGTGGCCCCACATCCTTGTTAGCATTTTATTTTGCTTTATTATTATTTTTTTCTAGCCATTCAGGCGGATGTATAGTGGTATCTCATTACGGTTTTAATTTCCATTTCCGTGGTGACCAGTGTTGTTGAGCACTTTCTCGTGTGCTTATTGGCCATTTGTATATCTTCTTTTATAATTTGTCCATCTTCTTTTGTAATTTTTCTTTTTTTTCTTAAAAAAATTTTTTTTAACGTTTATTTATTTTTGAGAGAAAGAGACAGAGCCTGATGGGGAGAGGGACAGAGAGGGAGAGGGAGACACAGAATCGGAAGCAGGCTCCAGGCTCTGAGCTGTCAGCACAGAGCCCGACACGGGGCTCAAACTCACGAACCGTGAGATCATGACCTGGGCTGAAGTCAGACACTCAACCGACTGAGCCACCCAGGCGCCCCCATAATTTTTCTTCTTTAAAAGAATGTTTGGGGCGCCTGGGTGGCGCAGTCGGTTAAGCGTCCGACTTCAGCCGGGTCACGATCTCGCGGTCCGTGAGTTCGAGCCCCGCGTCAGGCTCTGGGCTGATGGCTCAGAGCCTGGAGCCTGTTTCCGATTCTGTGTCTCCCTCTCTCTCTGTCCCTCCCCCGTTCATGCTCTGTCTCTCTCTGTCCCAAAAATAAATAAACGTTGAAAAAAAAAATAAAAGAATGTTTATTTATTTATTTTGAGAGAGAAAGAGCATGAGCAGAGGAAGGGCAGAGAGAGAGAGGGAGAGAGACAATCCCAAGCAGGTTCCACGCTTTCAGTGCAGAGCCCGACCTGGGGCTCCGTCCCACGAACCGTGAGATCATGACCTGAGCCCAAACCAACAGTTGGATGCTTAACCAACTAAGCCACCCAGGCATCCCTCCTTTAATTAAAAAAAAAAAATGTTTATTTTTGAGAGAGAAAGAGAGAGAGAGAACAC